GACATGTTACACCATAGTCACGCATGTAGGAAAATAACTGATAACTCCTCATCTGAACTACGTCGAATACAACAGTGCTTAAGCCGGAACTCCTTTTACAGTGGTTGCTCGTTAATACAATGAACAGTTCAAGCTTATACAAAAAACACCGATTTGTTTTTTAATCGAGTTAACGAGCCACATTTTGCGTCCTACTCTTAAAAAATCGTCTCCAGTGTTAAGGCTCTTGGCAAACATACAAGGCCATTTTCATTGATAGCGCTGAAAATTCGGGCATCCAGCAGAGGAAACTGTGGGTTCCTTTTGACCGTATGAATATGCAAGACAGACGGGGTCGCCGTCTTGCCATGCCAAATAATCGATCGTGACACGTTCTGTTGTGCTTCCCATCAAGGACTTTTGCTTTCACACGTTCGAACGCTTGTTATGGTCGCACACGAGCTCTGCATAAAGACACAGTTAATCATTAATTATTTTTATATTTGACGAGCTACAATTTACTGTATAAATTATGCCCACGCGTTGTACTTGGGATGTGCGAGATTATGTTGCAGCGACAGCTATCACTATGGAAGAAGTTACAGTTACTCTAAACGTGTTTGCTCCAATAGTTATCCATTCGCGTCGTACGTGTAATGCATTGGCAGAGGCTATATGCTTAGGTTGCACGATGCGCAAGTATGATGCACGGTCAATTGAGTACGAAATTACTAAACAATTGAACATGAACGTACCCGATAGCTGGTGTTGCCACCAGTCGATAAAGGGTCTCCATGATGGCCTAGCGGTCTACTTGCTAAACTTAAAGCATACGTGGCGGTGCTCGAATGCGGGCGTGGATGAAATCTGTTTCGCTCTGAGAGCCACCCGTCTAATGGAATGCCTAACGGCCGTACCGGACGCAAAACGCAGACATTTAGTCCGGTGGGAAGGACTGAATGATGACGTTCTTAGCATGACAAGATTAGCATTCTTTGCGGCAACTCGGAGATATCTCTTTAGCGGTCAAAGTTCCACTCTTTTGAATATCTTCTCTTTAGACTAGACGTCCCTTCTTAGGGTAATTAACAACCCAGAAGTGGCTGAGCCCTAGTCAAATGGCGCGGTAAAATCGTGGAATCCTCGCTACAATGCTCACCATCGTGGCCGCAAGCAGAAACAATTTTCTACGTGTTCCGGTGTTTTCTAGGGTGCACTTCAGGAAACGTATGGACAAACGCCCGCTGTAAGGCAAGGCTCTGCAAACCCGTCTGAATTGATTAGAAAAAAGTGCTCGAAAGTTGTCTGAAGCATTTCATCGCAGCTACTCGTTGATCCCCAGAGAAGCCATGAGTGCTAACCATCACGAGACTTACACAGGTCTATGGGCGATGAGGTTGACTTTGGAGAACGGCATTTACATCGTTACCCTTTTCCCGCACAGTTCAAATAGGCTATTATAATAATTTATATATTGCATACCCTAGCGGTGCAACACTTATAAAATTTGTAAATTAAAAATACTAAATAATTGAATTCTATCTATAAACGCTGCTTTATTTTGCAATGTCCTTCTCTATGGTAGGTATCAAAAGACACTTTCGATTGAAGCTGACATTGAGGCGAAGCAATGCCATAGTTCTTCTTCAAGAAGCAGTTCGCGCCGAGCAAAAAAAAAGGATTTATTTTACGCTGTGTGCGCGGTCAAGCCCCAGGGTCATCGGCGTGACGTTAATAATGAAATAGATACCGTAAAATATAATGTAATTCTGTTTCTATTTCTCAGAGTTGCATAATAAACTCAATCTCAAATCTTCGAGCGGCAATTCTCTTTGAGAGTTCTCAATCTCAAATCTAGCTGACAACTTCGCATTTACTTGGGCCATGTCTTGCACGCTCTGTGCATTCACCAGGCTTCCAATCTGCCATAGAAGTTCCATATTTATGTAGGAATCGAGTCACCCTCCGTTTCGCTTTAATCTGGACACGATACAATAGATGTGATCTACAAACAAACTTATCTTGGCTCCTTTTAGTCTTACTTTGTTATAGTCATGTAATGGATTTTTTGTGGTGAACGATGGGCCCATTAAGCATTTATGTAAATAGATGCAAAATACGATCTCTGTTGTCAAACAGTGGATTTTCGGCCGGCCACACATAGTTTATTATGCACCGCTATATAATAATTACAGCTGAGCAAAATGTCGGCAATTTTGTGCTATTATTAATATTATCGTTGATCGTGATTACTTCGATTGCGCTATAAATGTATCCAGAAAATTCCTGTCGCTTTATACTCCTAATTAACTCAGTCAGAACGTTTCCCGACATACCTCACGTACGTACTCGTGCTTATAAGTGGCATATATTTGTGAACTACCGCCGAAACCTTCATCGTTTAGAATCAATGTATATCTTGCTGCACATGAACCCCTGTTTTCGAATTCTGTTAAGAAGCATCTTTTGCGCAGGGCTTTCCTGCTAATTTTCCTTCGTAGACGTTTTCATCGGTTAGGGCATCCTGTTGCCTGAACGCCACTGCGGCGAAACTCCTAATTACAGCCACGCGAAACCATTTCGGCTCCAAGGGTAGGCTCTAAACTTTGAAACGCCATACGAAGATTCGGACAACGCGATCTGCTAGATACTAACATGTGCGTTTTTTGCCTCGAGAGCCAAGCTTATCTTGTAACCAATGCTGTGTAAGACTTTATGCGCGGTTCGTTATTCGACATCTTACACAGAAATACATAGATTAGATAGAGAGAAGAGATACAGGGGTGGGCAAACATCACCTGACAGTTGCATGCATGGTCCTCGCCTAATAGATTCGTTCAAAAATTTATTGTTATTGCGGCCATTTGCGTATCGATTGCGCCATTGCGTATAGATGTAATGAAGGCTCCCCAACCGTTATGTGACTTTGTTAGACTGTCGAGACGCTGTTTTTGAATCTACGGAAGATTTCCCAGCATTTTTAGCTTCCAAAATTTCCCAGCATTATACAGAAATAGCATGTGGACCTTTCACTTTCATCTGGATCGTGTTGTTCCGTTAATGCCTCAAGTACATGGCAACATTCGTTGATAATTGTTTGTGTTTTTTCAGCTAATACAATGATAGCTGGCCATGTAAGTGATCACACGGGTGTTTCTGTTTTTGCCAGAAAAACATCCGTCGAAAGATAGAAGACGGCACGCAACATCATTGGACAGTTTAGTATCGTTGTGCTAAACGTATGTGTAGCTAACACGGCTAATAAAACTTCGACTTCTCGATTGCCATATTATGATCTGCGTGCTTCGTCCTGCTTGTTTTCTCCGTCTGCTGGCAATAGCAGACAGCATTCACCAGTTAAATTGTCGATAATGAACCTAAAACGCTTTTGCTACTTTCAAGAAATCGGGACTCGAAAAAAGACACCAGCCAGGTGTTCTTTTTTTCTGACTTTATTGAGTCAGGCGGTATGGAAAGAGGATGGCGTATGTTTTGTCCACACTTTGTGGTCCCGTCGTCGGTGTGGCCCCAACTTCACTTGTTTTCCTTAGTCCTAAATTCCACTTTTACCTCTGTGTCTATCTGTAACGGTCTTATTCCGCGGAAATTTTCGGAACGCTATCTTAATAAGCGAAGGTTTAAGCAACGCCAAATTTCAGTAGTGTTCTTGAGAGACAATTGTAAGCAATACCATCAATAAAACACGTGTCTATACCCTGCCGCAGCGCCAAAGATAGTGCCAGCACATTTATACTGTACCCACTAGATGACAATGGCGGCAAACCGCTTAATATGAAGGAACGCTTTAAACGAATCCAGGATACCCTTGAGATACACGGCTGAGAAAAAGTAAAATATATCGCTAGTAAGTGTTTTTTGACCTTTCAGGCCAAATGGACAAATACATGCTTGAAGTTTTATGTGTGGTACGACTGCGTTAAGTTAGTTATTGCCCCACACGCTCGACTTTTTACAGCGCGAAATGAAGAGCGCCCGTAGACGGTGGGTATCAAACCGAAATCATCGAGTGCGCCTATCGCTAGTAGGAAAAGGCGTTTCTACTGTATTGTCACGGGAACTCTGACCATGTTGGTAGAGGTTTCATATATTTCTAAAGGTATGCCTGTTTTTAGTTCTGGTAGGTTATGGTTTTATGTACTGTGTAAAAAAAATTAAGTACGGAGATACTAAAATAACAATGGACCTTTAGTCTCCAGCCAGGCCAATTCATCACTCTCGACACGCTAAAGGCGGCTTTAAACACAAGGTATGAAGCAGAATGAAGAACTTTCTCTTTGTATTAAACCAACCCTCGAGTGCATGCCTATTCTTCATAAGTCTTAAAACAACATGTTTTAAGTGATTAATAATGATTAATTAGCTAACATTGAAAAGGTTCAGCTGGACGGTTGGAAGCTTCTTTTATATCTATCATGTAAGAAGTCAATAGACGCGCGGATTGTCACGGTTGGATCAGCTTTCCTTGTGGCTTAGATCACTTTTTCAAATTATCAGATGTTTAGAGCTAAGGAAAATTTCGCTTAATTCGCTTGTCCACACAACATAATCAATTTATCCTGATCACTATTGATTACTACGTCGCGGGAAATGTCGTGCGCCTTACGAGGTAACAAAATAAATCAAAGAGTGCCCGCGTCATGCGTGCTTCTTCGTACTCGCATAGTCGTTTCGTTTGCCCTTTCGACATTTTGTCTGAATCACAGTTGTGCCCAGTAGACGCAACATTACTCAAGCAAATTCGCGGCGTACACAAACCCGTCGCTAACATATCCGTTCTTTAACGATGGAACCGAGGATCCGGGACACGCGAACTAGCCAGCCAGTCAGCCAAGGACTGGGAAAGGGTGACTTTGTCCTATAACACTGCCAGTTAACTGGCAAGCCAGCTCATCACCATGGTCGTGTAACGTCGCGTCCGCGTCCGTATTGCCTTTGTATCTGCTCGTTTGTTTCTATATCTGTGTACGTGTGTGTGTGTGTGTCCTATCGCACTAGATAGGGTATCTGCCCCTTGGCTTGTTGACGTGAAAACTAACGCGCACTTCGTCGCCTGCCCTCATCCGGGCAGGTTATTCGTTGGATTTTTCGCTGCTTTGGCCGTTTGTATTGCTGCGGCTGCTGCTGCTGCGGGATTCGTTCAGCAGCTGCAGTTTAGCGGCGGATCTCAGCTCAGAAAGAGCCGCGTCAGAGAGGGAGCGGAGAGGAGGTCCGGGACGGATGTGGATGTGTGACATCACGTCGCGCAGATTCAGCGCTAAAACCGCCGCTGCTACTACGACTAGCGCCTATTCGAGACGGATTCCCCGCCAAGAAGAAGACAGTTCTAATGGGGGCAAATTCTAAAACGAGACGAGAAAAACAAAGATTAACACATTTGCCAGAGCAGGATCGGAGTGATTAGACGTGTGACGCTATTTCGACTGAGCCAGCTGATTGGATCCGAGGCGCGGGCTATCAGTGCGCTAATATTGAAGGTCTTACCAGTGCTTCTTCGGGACTGACGTAATTGTGTTTTGATTAGAGCTTGTGTAATTCGCAGGAAGAGAGATACAGACAGAAAAGATTGCTTGAATTTTATCGCATCTACCCAAGAGCAGCGCGTCTTTGGTGCCTTATCTTGAAAAGGATTCAGTTTCGCGTTAAGCTTACGCTTGCTGCAAAAGTGACGACACGGAGCACACAATTAGTCTATCTGTGACACCTAAGGATTTGCAATAACGCAACAAAAATGTACCAGCGAAGCCTTGAAGTACGATCACCTCGTCCCTCGAGTCGTCGTCCCAGCCGAGCCGAAGGTACGGTCGCCGGTGAAATCAGATGCTCACAGCAGTCCATCCTCAATTCCATGGAACGTTTCGTTAAATCGATATCCAACATGGACTCAACGGTTCTTGTGCCTAGTCGATTGCGTGATCTGGATGCCACTGCCGGCAAGGTCACACCGCCAGCCGCCGTACGTTCCGGAGATTTGCATTCGCTTTTTACGATGCTTCACGATGTCAAAAAAGAGCTTCTCTGGTGTGCTCCTGGCAGTTCGCAAAATTCTAATCTTCATCTCCTCAGCGGGTCTCGTGATACGGGATCGTACAAAGTTCAACATGACTTCCACCATTATTCGCACGGTTCCAGCCTAAGGGTACCATCCATAACCCCGCTGCAGGGGTCTCATCAACTGCATCTTAGCACCGGTTCTGTGGCTTCAGCTATCTCAGACGGAGATACTGATTCGGAGTCGTTGTGCGACTTCGTCGAGAATGATTACGGAGTACAGCTGGCCAGCACATTCCGTCTGCATCTTCAAGGGCTCCATTCGATTTTACATCAGTTGGCCGAATCTGCCGATTTCTTGTCTGAACGTTACCTCGAAGACATCGAACCAACAATTTGACTTTACTTAAATGATATTCTTGTGTCACAGAAATTTTGCTGACAGTATGTAGAACCGTAAGAAGTGTATGTCTGTAATTAGCATCTGTTGGGCGGTAGGACGGTTAGCGTGATTTCACTGTCATTGCAGTGTATAGTCGTGCCCCTGACTTGATTAGAGTAAATGAAACCATGATTTCTGTGTAGATTTCCCTAAAACGATGAGAACATTGACTGATTTCGCGTCACAACGTGAGTCGTCATATTGGTCGCATCCGACATTCTACGTACTGGTATAATATATAGTGTTTAACAGAATATTTAGCTCAAACGGTAATTAGCTATGCGAGAGTTGATCAACAAGTCAGTTTTTCCTGCTAACAAAAAGGACCAGCTGTTTGTTTGATAATCAAAACAGGCTCCAGCAGACTTTCTAGCTAAAAGGTTTAGGTCTTAATACTGCTACGAAACTTCGGTAGGTACCGAATCGCTCATAACCAAGAAACTATATATAAGTCAATTTAATGAACTAGCTAATTGTCAAGGGACTTTTACTATGCATTTGAAGGAAAACAGACATCTTCTGTCCCGTGGGAGGAAATGGCTTTGATTGTGCAAAGACGCAAGCATGTTTTACAGACCTCTATCAGAAAGCATCGGAAATTATTCAGGGTATTTCTACAAGAAGAAGGTAAATAGAACTATGAAAACAGACCAACTAAATGGGACCAACTCTGAGACAGCCAGAACACAGAATGTTTTTCATTATGAGTCAATAGAATAGAGAGAAAGCCCTTGTACGTTAACGCTCGGTTTACCCTTATTAATTTTCTTAATTATGCACCGATTTTACAGACTCTACAGTCGACGACCAAAGCAGCAAAGCTAGAAAAACGGCGAACAACTTTCTATGCCTTTCAACGAATGCACAAAATTACCTTTTTGTACTTATATATATATATATATATATATATGGGGCCTGCACATTTAGAAAGTGGTATATATCTGATATTGACGCAATAAATTAGATTTTGTTGGTAGAAGTAATGCATGTTTTTAAAAAAAGTCCTATAGTTGTAACGATATCCAACAATATTTATTCGTGCAGAAATGACTGTAGAAGGTAGCATGTCAGTGACTTGTGTCATTAACCGTCGTTCTATGCGTGTGCCTTGGTTTAAGCTACTGCTGCAACTTTGTCTAAGAGGAAAAACTAAACCTGGATCGGCAACTGCCTGAAGCACAATAGTTAGATAGATACAAAGTGGAGTACAATGCATGTACAATAACAGGATACACAGGAGCTCTATTATTGGCCAGGGGAATTGGAGCATGAAAATCATATGATACGATCTGAAACACAGAGCTCGAATACTTCAAATCAATTTAATGGAGCTTCGCATCAAGCACCGACAAAATTTATCAATCTCTGTCAATACATCGGCGCGTAAAAAAGTTTACTGACCAAATACGCGCAATCCCACCAGCCAATAGACACGTATACCTTTGTGCTAATAGTCCCTGAAACGCTGTATAGCAAGTACATGTTTATGGACCACTACAGACATATCAAAATTTTTCTATCAGCATTTTCCTGCATCGAGTCCTTCTTGCCTTTTTCCGAATCCGCTTTTCGCTTTTTGGCTGCATTGTCCACACTGACAATCCAATATAGAGTAGCATTCTATGCACGCAACTCTCAGTTGAATTTCTCTACTTTTGTACGAGTTGCTTTTCATCAGGAATTGCGATACAATCGTTGACTAGGTGGGGAGCACGAGTCAATGATCTGATCTATGAAACAGTTTCCGATAACAGTTTGATGTCGTAAACGTAAGTAAGCTTTTATTGCTAACTTTCTGATTCTGAGCTCTTACCTAACTGGTAACATTCTGTGTCAGGAGTGCAATCCAACGGAAATGTCAACCTATTTGCAGACTCACGGACTTTACCCCACAACCCAGTGAACTTGTCAGATATGTATATACGAATTTCGTTCCGCTGTTTAAATATCTGATCTGTTGTCAATTTTAGATATCTCTACGCAGTAAAGTATCCAATATAGGTGTAACTGCAAAGAGGAGATAGAACAGACTTGTAGAACTATATCGTAACGAACCAACGGTATAATTAGCTAATCAGATATACTACTGTATAGTACTATGCGTCGTTATAATATTTTTATTTAATGAGAATATTGACAATTACTAAATTAGTTTAGACAGAGTAACATTTTGCACGATCTTTCTCCGCTAGCAAATTTACTCAATATGCTCCTGTACGTACATACAGAGTGTTTCTGGGACCTATATAAACATCTTTTGCTATAGGGCTATAAGCAGCCGATGTACATGCTATGACGTGAAATTAAAGTATATGAGAAAGAGTTAAGTGGTATATACTTGTAAAAATATAATATATATATATATATATATTTACTTATATTTAACATCTTCCATGCGGCAACACGCTTCTACCGATCTTCTTCGAAATCACCTAGTTGTAGCATGAAAAACTTGCCCTCGCTAATAGTTTAACTGGGGGTCGCTATTGGTGGAATATACAGCATGAGACGAAAAATTCTGTTAATCGATTGAGAAAAGGCGTATGTAGAGTAGAGTCAGCTGTTCCGTTTGGTAGCCATTTGATTATAAATGATAAAATTATGGTAAAAGTTTAATAATAAGTAATTTTCATTCGTCACGCTTGATTCTTAGCTTTAAAATGTAACAACCAGAGGTATTTCGAGTATACTGTATACTGAGGGGCTCTAGCCTGCGGGTGTACGCGAAAAGCCAAAAACTCTGGTAGCTCCTTTGGTGCCGCCTAAACAACAGTGGAGTAAACTAGCGGATGTTGAAGCAAGCTTCCTGCTTCGGCAAGGTTAAAAGAAAGTTTTTAATGTTTTAGGTTAAGTTACCAACGAATTCTCAGAATAGGCATCGTTAACCATCACGAACGCTTGACGCCAACGAAAAAATTTCATTTATGTCTTAAAACACGTGGGTACCTTCTAAGAAAAAAACATTTTTTCCTTAGAGAAGAAAGAAAGTCAGACGATCGCAGTCATCCACCAAAGGCCTCCATTAACAAATCGAGTTACTCCTAACTCTTCCGTTTAATTATACAGGGAGCACAACATTTAAATGTACTGAACCAGTTACCCTTATGGCTTGAAGCTTATTAGATGGACCCATTACAAGGGTGCGATGAAAAACGCCCGATATCTCCGAAACAATACCATTCTTCCGTCGCTGTCGAATGAAATCAGGTTATTAGGGTAAAAGGCTCTATTTCGAAAACTTGTTTTGATATCAACAGGTGGCCTAACTGAAAAGACTGCGACTCTCGAATTCTATCGAAGATTTCCGTTCTACGATCGTATCCTTTGGCGTTTTTCATCATGCTGCTGTCCCTGTTGGCGTAGTAGTAACAAAAGAGCAACGACTTAACTTTACGAAGATATTTCGAGCACAATATAATTATTACGTAAATCAGGCATGATGAAGTGAAATCTTCTATTGGTTGACTTATTATTAATAAGCTGTCTCAAAGCTGGCAGCCTTTTTCACGTAATTAGATATTCCTAAAGGTGGTATGCCTTCAGCGTAGATGAGGGAAACATGGTATCATCGCCATTTCTATCTTAGCAGCATGTAAAATGCAAAACCAACACGAGTAAATATCCTACATGGACTCAGCTAGCCTTACTGAAGACTCATTGATCTCCAGTTACCAAACAGATGTTATGTGATGAAGAAAAGTAAGGTTATTCCTGCGATAGTCAATAATAAAAATAATACAAAAAAAAACCGTAGCTACCAACGTATGGCTAATCAGCTTACTTCAATTGAACGTAGAATAAAATGGTAGAGCTTCATATATCAACATGTGAAGGTAGATAGAAAAATCCATTGGACAAGACCTTCCGATATTGCCGAGCTTAGTGTGACGCATATATATATATATATATATATATACACATATATACGTACAACACAAGTCCAATATATTTCGTCAAAATGACTTGGTCTTAAACCTTGAGTAACGTGTCAAGGTTCTGGAAACAAATACACGTCTTTATTTTGATAATGAAGTTATTTAGAATGGGCAAAGTAGACATTACGGAAAGTATAAATGGCAATACAATGTTTTTTCGCTGTAAACATTGATAAAAGGGAAACCAGAAATCCCTGTCAGTGAGCTTATTTAGTATCCCGTAATTAGCTACCACTATGTTGTCTCTTCTATGTGACTTGTCAATCATCCGGGCAGATTTCCTTGGACTAATTTTACCGCCAGGGGGTTTGACTTCTAGTCGGCAGATTTCGACGTATCTAACTTAGATCCATATTATGATCGTGGGCTAAAAAAAAATTTCCCTTCACTCAGAAAACATAATAGAACCTTCAGTAGGAACTAATAAAAGAAAGAGATATTCATCATTTGAGCTTTTTACCTTTGATAATTAATTAAAGGCTTACCTGGTAATTACACCAATGACAACCGCCATAATCTCACAAACATTCTGCCGTACGTTCATACAAACGTTGTTCGAACGTTTGTATGAACGTACGTTTGGAAAAGAAACTGTACGTTTTATACATACAGCCGTAATTAAAATCTATTCGTTTATTCCAATGCTTTGGAGGACGCTCAATACTGTTATTGGTATTCTACTTCCATTGAGGCAAAAAAAGACTCTACTCCTCGGAAAAGCTTGAGCCTTCATTGACGCCTAGGCAAAGTACGAGACGAAGACTTTTAGCAATAGAACCTACAGAAAAATCGCTCTAACATATGTTCTTTGAGCGAACGCTCAGAGATGCACAGTTTTGGCACAACCTGAGGTAGCGAATTTGTCATTGTTACAAAGCCTCAAATAAATAAATCATTGTATAGTTCTACCTTGAGACGTAAATATGTTGTTTCGGGTCCGTGCATCCTGCGCATGCAACCGCAATCAAATCAAGATAATATTGTTACAGCATTGGCAAGTGGCTCTTTTCCGCTTAATAAAATGCTAGCGCCTTTTTCAATTTCCGTTCTACGTACATATACTCTACGTGCTACCGACAAATGGTGAGCTTTCAAGTGAATAGTTCTCTTAAAGGTCTATTAACGTCCAGCTTTTTTTCCATTCATTGCTCAACAGCCTACAACGTACCAATTACTATCGTTATTGTTATTATTCTGACCATGTAACCCGTTTAGAAAATATAGCGTTTTGCCCGAATCAACTTGATCGATCGCCGACGCTTCCTTCGCAAGTCGACTTTCAATCGATTACCTATTTTTAAAATTTTTTATTTTTCTCACACGTAACATTAAAGACGACCTCATCTAAGGGATCGCTTTCGGCTACCCTACCTGTTCAGAGCAGGTCCATTCAAGTGTTTCGTTCCAGAAACCCATTCGCCCGCTTCTTTTCATGATTCGTCATTTTGAAGTTTTCAGGCGACAATCGATCGCGACGAGTAGCTATCTTCCAGTGCCCGCCATCATCTCGAAACTCGTACCTCGGTGCTGCGTCAAATGAGCCTTTTGGATCATAGATTATTCTGTGTATGATAGCTCGGATCGGCCAGTGAACGGATTTAATAAGCCCAACAGAAGAAGAGCCAGTCGCGCAGATTACTACTCCTCGTCGGTGAAACGATGTCAAGCTGGAGTCTTCCAGAAACTGTTCGGTGGTAACCGTTGCCAAAATTTACTGAGCCAATTTTAATAGCTAGTCGCTGTGACGCGTATTAGTTGCACCAAGAATACTGTTATTTGTAGAACAAGATTCGACCGAAAGATGATTTGTTATTCAACTGTGTTCAAGTTAGCTCTTTGCAAGATTCGGGCTATCTGCGGTTTTCCTGCTATTCAAGGGAACGACACATTTTTTTGGTCCCCTGAACAAGCAATCGACAGCTTGATACGCAAGACGAAACACGGAATCTAGCAATAATCCTAGTTAATTTTGGCCATCATTATCGCAAATTATCCCTGAACTATAATAGTACGATAAACACAAATGCTACCAATGATGAAAACAGTCA